GGGGGGGGGGGGGGGGTGATGGGAGGGTCAAAAACGTTACACACACACACCAATATGGACGAGGAACGAGCGATCGGCACGCGGAGGGAGGGGCAAACACTCATAAAGAAAGAAGAATAAAAAAGGCGACGAGGCAACAGAGCCAGCCACCAAGGCCTGCCGGAAGTCCTTTTATGATAACATATGGAAACTTGGACTGTAGACTGGGTGTTTCGACACATCGACAAGAGGGAAAGGGCGCCCTAGGGACGAACTCGTCTCGTGGGGAATGAATTTGTGGTGAGCGAGGGAGTTGACACTTTTGTGACCCCACGACCCAAGGACGGGAAAGACGGCACAGCACGGTCTGCTGTCCGAAGGGGAAACGTCCGGAGCGGGGGCGGTCTTTGGTGAGCGCGCGAGCAAAGGAGAGCATTTCGCCGCGCGACATGCGTGCCCGAAGAGGACCTGCCACCGACGATCGGCGTCACTACAGCGTAGGAGTTGCGTGCTCGTGTGTGTGTGTGTGTGTTTGTGTGTGAGCGAGCCTGCTGTGGCCATAGGCGCAACGCTTTTGTTCTATTGGTTCTTGTGGAGGTCGGAGATGAACACGTCCTTTCTTCCTTCTGGTTCGACGACGACGACGACGACGACGACACTGCTGTCTACGCACCTCCGACACCAGGAACTCAGGCTCTGCTGTGATGAGTTGGGCGTACGCGGTCTCTCTCTCTTCCATCGCGTCGGCATCCAGCGCCCCCTCCCTGACAATGAAAACACACAAAAAAAAAAAATCATCTCCCAAGGAAAAAAGGGCACAGATATCACCGCCGTATCTACTCGTGGCGACGTTCAGTTCAAAGATTTTTCAAATCTCTAGCTGCTGTGTCCATTGCTCGTTTTTAATCGTTTGTGATAAAAAAAAATACTTGTATAAACAAAAACGTTCCGAAGCGGGTGAGACATGTCAAGTCGCTTCAGTACATTTTCTGTACAGAGTCAAATCGCTATTTGCACTGTCTGTGTGCCTTCCGCCCTGATGCAAAAACCAAGTACGCTGTCATGTCGGGCGCCAANAACACCTGTTGGCTGAAGCCCGCCCCCCCCCGCCGCCGCTCTTCCCAGGCCTGCCCTTGAACTCCGAGTCTCCGAACGCCCTTGACACAGCCAGCTCTCCCATCACCTCCGCAGGTCATTGTCACCATCTTCGTCAGTCACACAGAATACCATCAGCATTCAACATTCAACATTCAACATTCAACATTCAGCATTCAATACAATTCGCAGCACCACTATAGCAGCGAGCAATGTAGCCTGTATGGTTGCCGTCATTAGAGCAACATGTTTGGTGAGGCGACCCCTCACGATATTGACAACACCGGTTCACAGCACACGCACGGATCCGCCTTTAGTGTCTTTCGACTCTTTCGACTATGTTGTCTGCCTCTGCCTGTCTTTTTCTCTCCTTCTCCTCTCTGACACTCGGTCTGACTCTCTTGTCTAACTCTCCCTTCTTTCTCCTCTCTCCTCTCTCTCTCTCTCTCTCTCTCTCTCTCTCTCTCTC